AGAACTTGTCCTGGGGTAGGCAAGATTCTAAAGAGGATGGGCATTACAGATAGCTGACCTTGATTACTAAATGATCCACTGCTGGATTGGATCAGGTGACTACCCTGTAAAGAACAGCAGGTACCTGCAAAGAAGGGGGTTCTCAGGAGGCAGGCAACCCTCTTATAAGTATCTGATATCACCCAAAGAAACAACTAAGAAATATATAATACAGGTGACCAGTGTTCCCTCCATCTTTTCAGATGGAGAAATTTTTTTATGTGCATTGCATCATGTATGTACCACCAGTAGAAGCACATGATGCTGGCTGTGGGCACTGTAGGTGCTCTGCTAATCAGCTGGGCAGCACCTGAATCTCTCTCTTGGGCAGCTGCCCAACTGCTCAGTTTACAATCTCCTCCCTTGGTTATATGTTCTGTGACTGCACTCATGAAATGCCTTTGTACCTGTTCTGGTTTAGATTTCTGAGCATGACTCTTCCACCTTGTAGATGATTCAGTTATAGTCAATTCTATTTTAAAAGTCAACAGCTGACACAATGTGATATCAGAGATGCCGCAATTATTTCCTACAGAGTACAGGAGGAAGCAATGTGATTACAGATGCCATGGTACACCAACTGTTGGGGAAAAATGTGGCTCTTTTTGATAATAACCATTACCACCTTTGTCAACTTTTGCATCCTCAGTCCTCCCTCCACAAACACAAGTCAATGTCACACTATTCCATTTTGTTGTGAGCACTTTCTTTCCATTTCTGGCCAGACTTTTGTCATGAGATCATGGCAGCGCATTTTTGGTTTGTGCAGTGATCATTTGTTGTCTCTGGACATCCAGTCACTAATGCGGTTTGCCCACCTATTGTCTTGCCTGCAGATTCCATGTCCTACCCATCTCCACTTTGCATCGTACGTTGCCAATATACTTGTATTAAACTATGTCAAATGTTTTGTATAATATAAAATTAAGATTTCAAGTCTTTAGTTTTAGCTGAGATGTCTTGGCAGAAGATCACTGTAATTAAGGATTTATTGATAATATTTAGTTGAATTAAAAGACAGGATAACATTTTTATACCACTCCTGAACCAACATTATTTGCTCTCAGAACTCAGTCAATTTCACATGTGAGAGTTGAAACCAAGTGACATTGGATAGAAAAATGCTGCAAAATGCTGGGGATTTGGTCATTTATTTGCTTCCCAAAAATGCACTCTGTTTTTTTCCCCCTAACTAAATACTTGGAAGTGGGGTGGTTGATTGGCATGTGTGTTCTCTGCATATGGAGCCTGGCAAATGATATTCAAACTTTTCTCAGCCTAACAAGAAGAATTAACTTTCCCCCACCACCACTATAGGCAATGTTGCCTTTCTTTAAAGTTCATTTGTCAAAAGTGGCAGGAAGAAGAAATATGAAGAGAATTATAGCATTTGGAAATGGGAGAAAAACTATCATGTCATGCAGTCAATCAGTCACTCTAAGAGGCAGTGCAGAATTGGTCTGTACTGTGAATGTATTAATGTCTTTTCCAGTCTTATTTTAAAAGTGCTTAATGCAGAACAAAAGTTTTCATTACTTCCTTGGGAAACTCCTTGATAGCCTCTTCTTAATTTTACTCCATTATCCCCACTTATTCCCCTCTTATTATGCTAATAAATTCATAACCCTCAGTAAGTTTTTGAGTTACACCTCTTCCTTTGTAACTCAGTCCTTGCAGTTGCTTAGTAGATGCCGCAGCTGTGCTTAGTTCAGGGCCATGGTTCTACCCATGCAGAACAGCTTGCAGGAGGGAAATTGAGTTTGTTATGTGAACTCCTTCCATTTAATCAATTCTTTACTGGAATGTGTTGCTCTGAACTGAACAAGATATTTCCTGGAATGGTCATCCAAGGGCCATATGAAAAGGGACTGTTATCTCCCCAGTCTATGATGTCATGCCTTCATGTAATAATGAAATTAAGTTCCATTATCACTCCTTGGCTTCACTCAGCATTACAGTTTCTTAGGTGTGGGTCCTGTTAAATTTCTATGCTGGAACAATGTTTCCTCAGATGCGTTAGCCTGCATTTTTTCCAAGCTGAATTTCTTCCTGTTAGTATTCCTAAAACAGTTTTAGATTTTCTCTTCACATTTGTGGGTACTCTGGATGACTCTCAATTTAAAATAATGCATTAATTTAATGTGTATTACCTTTACAGAGTGACAGCTAAAATGTATTACTTACAAGGGGGAGCACAGAGCTATTGGTTTAAGTAGTTGTATGGCCCCATCACCATTGCATCTCACATCCCTTATACATCTCACAGTGGTAAGATAGGGAAGTCTGATTGTCTGCACTTTGTGAATGGTAAATGAGGCACAGAAAGGCAAAGTGATTTGTCCGGTCACACAGAAAATCTATGGAATGGCACGGAATTGGACCTACGTCTTTAGCCTATATCTAGGCAGTTCTGCTCCTCTTGACAATCCAGCAAAATTTAATTGAAGTGATGTTGCTAAGCTTCCTAACAGCCAGAAAAGGAAAAGGGCTCCACATCTCTTGGTATTTCTGCATCTTCTCTTTGACCCAATTTCCTCCCATCTTTCTCCTTCTCTATGCAAATTAGAAATCTACTGGGTTTTGCTTTGAGTGTTGATAGGTGCAAAACGCATTATAAAAAGCATGGCCTGAATGTGCTAAAAGGAATATATAAAATGTGTGTGTGTATATATATATATATTGAGAGAGAGAGAGAGAGAGAGAGAGAGAGAGAGAGAGAGAGAGAGAGTGTTTGTGCATTTGTTTGTCTATCCATGAGTCCATCAGTCCATATGTGAATCCGTTTGTTCAAAATCGAAAAAATAAGAGATAGGACCACTACATTTGGTATGCAGCCTCCTCTTATCCTAGTTTAAAAGCATTGTCAGGAAAATGGGAAGTGACTGGATTGGGATTGTTTTCCATAACATGGAAAGGCAGGAGTCTGAGAGCAGGGACAGTTATGTTCTGCAATGAGGCAGCGATCAGAGGGGATAGATAGGCTATGTCTACACAGCAGTGTATTTCAGAATAATTCTCATTATTTTGAAATAACAAAATGCACATCTACACAGCATGCCACTATTTCGAAATAATGTTGAGCTGGAGGACTTCTTACTTTGACTCCTGTAGCCCTCGTTTCACAAGCGGTGAGGAAATCAAAGGAAGAGTGTTCTTCTTTTCAACTTCCTACTCTGTAGACAGTGTCAAAAGCCAGATTAAGCTATTTTGACTTCAGTTACACAATTAATGTAGCTGGAGTTGTGTAGATGAATTCAACTTTTGCTCTGCTGTGTAGATGTGCCCTTATACTGCAGAGTGACCACAGGGGGGCAGCTGCACTAAGAAGAGAGTGGTTAGCTGGGGCCAAAGATTCCCATGTGGCAGGCCACTGGCCTGGTTATGTGTCCTCCCCCACCAAAGCTTTTGGGGCCAGAACGGGGGAGAACGGGAGCATCACTAGGTGGGCAGTGCAGCCCCGCCCCTGGGTAGGAATTGCCCTCAGAGCAGCACTGCCCTCATAGCCATGGGCAGCCCCAGTAAGTCCCCTCCAACCTCCCAGCTCCCTATACCAAGCTCCTGAACCCTGCACCGACTGCCCTGACTCCTCCTCTACTGCCTATCTAGAGCCCTCACACCTCCCAGCCCTGACATCTGCACCCCCCCCTTGCCCAGAGTCCTCAACACACCCAACCCCCTTCCCTATACAATCATATAAATACATCATGTATATTTTCCTTTTAATTAAAAACAAACAATCAAACAAACAAACAACAACAAAAATTACTTCATTTAAGGGCCTGAGCAGTTCTGGGTACATCTTTTAGCTGATCTACTATATATTTGAGAGAATTTATCTGGCAATCTGCCTGTTTGTCTGTTTGTTCAAGAACTCCCCATAAACAGTAAGAGCTTGGACCACTATGTTCAGTATATGGCTTGCTCTTATCATAATTTAAAGCAACATAAGATACAGTTATGTCAGGGAAATGGGATGTGCTTGGAACGGGATTGCTTCTCATAAAACCATACAGAAAAGAGACACCAGGCAGATGAAACGGGCTGCCTACGGGTGCCTCTTCTCCTGTCCAGGACTGCCCCAGACCTGAGCCTTCCATTCTCCAGGTGCCCATTAGAGAGGGCAGGGAGCTGAAATTCACCCTTCCCAATTCATAGGGGAACATTGCTGGCTGTTCCCCTTCATCAGGGAATGAGAGGAAAGTACACAGTTTGCTGAATTCTTCACTCTGGCTGGAGACCACAGGGGACAGGTGAGCTGTGCACTTTGCTACTATCCTATCCTATTCTGTCCTATCCTATCTATCTTGGAGTATGTCTACACTACCACCCTAGTTCAAACGAGGGTGGTTAATGTAGTCATACGAACTTGCAAATGAAGCCCGGATTTGAATTTCCCGGGCTTCATTTGCATGTTGCCGGGCGCCGCCATTTTTAAATGTCCGCTAGTGCGGACTCCGTGCCTGCAGCTACACGCGGCACAAACTAGGTAGTTCGGACTAGGCTTCCTATTCCGAACTATCTGTACACCTCATTCCATGAGGCATACAGGTAGTTCGGAATAGGAAGCCTAATCCGAACTACCTAGTTCATGCCGCGTGCAGCTGCGGGCACGGAGTCCGCACTAATGGGGATTTAAAAATGGCGGCGCCGGGCAAGATGCAAATGAAGCCCGGGATATTTAAATCCCGGTCTTCATTTGCAACTTCGATTGACTACATTAACCACCCTAGTTCCATTTAAAAATGGCGGAGCCCGGCAACATGCAAATGAAGCCCGGGAAATTCAAATCCGGGCTTCATTTGCAAGTTCGTATGACTACATTAACCACCCTTGTTTGAACTAGGGTGGTAGTGTAGACATACCCCTAATGTCTTGATGTGTTATATTGATAGGTCTGTTGGATAGGTCTTGAAAGCAACATCTAACGTGTGTTCTTTGTTTCTGTCTGTGCATGCTTCCAGCTTCTGTCCTTTCAGTATCAGCTTTACTATTACCTGAACTGGTAAACTCCTTCGGGGGCAGCCTCAGGAAAAAGGTGTAGGTGAGCAGGGCATGGAGGATACAACTGACCGCACACGAAGTACACAAATCAAAGAGAAAACACTGACGAGAGTAATATAAAAGAAACAGCTGTGCTTGGTAAGCTTTTTTTCTTTCTTTTTTTTTAAAATGTTATTTCAGCTAGTAACATGGTGAAGCTGTGCTATCAAGTCTCTGCCTGACAACTGCAATGATAAATTCAATCACTTCCCTGGGAAATGTTTGTTTCTCTCCCAAGTTCCTCCAAGAAAACTCCATTTATGCAACAATTTCTATTACTTTTTTCATTGATAATCTTGCATGGTTCTTTTGTGACCCAACTACCAGTTCTCATAGGCCATGCGGAGAGAGAACATAGTTTATGCATGACTGAATAGAGAAACTGAGGTTGAGAACGCTATATCAATGGGGCTGCCGGTATTTAATGAAAGGCAAAAGAAATGGCAGCTGTCAATTTGATATGAAACATAGTTTCTGTCTACATGCAGTGATTTGCAAGCAGCATGCTGGTAATAAATTGGGCCGTAAGTGTTTCAGTTAGGATAATCAGATAACAGTAAAAAATCAGGACAGGGGATGTGAGCTAAGAGGCATCTATCCAAGAATAATCTGTCTATCAGAACTGTCACTATAAAATTAGGACATCTTCTCACTCCATTTTCAGTCTGTGCATCTGAAAGCTTTAATACAAACTCCTACAAAATATATTTTGTATGAAATAACATTGAAACAAAAAGAAATGTAACTTCCTCTTTGATGAAGTTTACCCCCATGTTTTCTCAACACTCCCTTTAACTTTTTTATGCTCTCTGCTCTGTTTTAACTCTCTACCCTTGTTATCACTAGTACTCAAAAGACATATTAATGGATTTTATTTTTTATTTAGTAAAAAATCATAGTAAACTGAAATTAACATACTATTATCATTTTACCCCATGAAAAGGAAGGGTCTCTTTATTATATGTAATTTTAATTTTGCTTTTAATGTTTAGTTTGAATTCAATGGATGTTGAAGACTTGCACTGGACACGTCCATCAATCATTTTACCAAGGTTCCTGACATAATTTGATCTAATTGAAAATAGCAAAACGAGCTACATGAACAGAGAAAGAATGGTCAGAATTAATAAAGAAGAAATGCAATTCTTATGCTCATTTGCAACTGTTTTTTTAAGGAAATTTACCCTGAATGCAGAATGATATGATGACTTTTATAGATTCGCTGCTGGTCTCTGTGTTTGGCAACATGATGGAAAGAAGTCATTCCAGGGATATAGTACAATGTCCTTTAGTCCTTTAGGGCAGGAAAAGAATACATGGCAAGGATGTATGATTGAGTGCTGTCAATATATGGGTGTTGAGGTGCGGAGCCCACCAGTGTCAGTTCAGTACATGTGCGGCCTGCCACTTGCTGTCCTACCTCCCTGGGGGGAGGGTTTGGTCTCGTCCTGGGGGGGGGGTTTCCCGCGCTGGGGATCTCAAGTATCCGGCGCCTCTCCCAGTGGTGCCTCCACGTACGGGTGGCTGCGGGGTAGAGGGGCTTGGGCCCGCCCTCTCTCATGGGCCCCAGCCCAGGGCCCTAAGGGCAGGTTCAACTGAACCTGTCCAGCCAGTGGGGGTCTTAGCCCGCAACCCGCCGGATCACCAGCCGTACCTCCAGGCCCTGCCCTGGGCTGCTTCTTATCCTGTGTTCTGGCCTTTCTCCCTTCCTCTCCCCTCCTCCGTGCCAACTCCTCCTCCTTCCTCCCTCTCCTTGGAACTCGCCTCCCTTTTAACCTTCCCGCCTCCTGACGTCACCCGCCGATCCTCCTGATGTCATGTCCCTGACCCCATGCTGATGTCAGCCCCCGTCGCCGCTGCCGCCTCCTGCCGCCACGTCCCACTCATGCGCCTAACCCCGCCCCCACTGCTTAGCTGGGCCGCCGCGGCCATGCACGGTGGACAAAGTCTCCACGCCCCTCGATCTGCCCCGAGGAACGCGAGGGTGACTGCCGGGTCAGTGCAGGGTGGATCCACCTCGGAGGGACAGAGGCGGTCTGTCCCATCACAATGGGCAATATCAACATTTTTAGGCCAGGTCTAAATGAGAGAAGCCATGTTAATCAATAGACCAACAAGGTTTGACCCAGGCCACAAAAGTGTGTGGGAAGCTGTTTAGGGTCAGCAAGCATTCAGAGGAAACATCAATAATGAGGGGAACTGTGAAAGTGGAGGGACCTTGAAGAGAAGCTTGGTGAACTAGCATGTGTAACCCACACACATAGGCTATGTCTACACTACAAAGGTTCTTTTCGAAAAATGTGTTTTTCTGAAAAAACTTCACTTAAGTCCACACTGCAATCTTTTGGAAAAAAAATTAAAAGAACAGAGGGGTTTTTCCAACATTGGTAAACCTCTTTCTACAAGGAAGAAGCCTTTTTCTGAAAGAGCTCTTTTGGAAAAAGGCATGTGTGGATGGGGGAGAGGGAGTTCTTTCACAAGGAGAGGAAAGAGGAAAAGCATAAGTACCCTGGTACCCCATCCATAGTAATCACAGCTGAAATGCGAGATAGTGTCCATTCAGTGTGGACTCTATCTTTTGAAAAAGCAGATTGCTTTTTCGATGCACTTTGGCAGTGTCACCATGCAAGGCACTGTATTTAGCCCTATGGAGTGGAAATTCATCAACCTCATGACATGCATCTGATGAAGTGGGTCTTTGCCCAGGAAAGCTTATGCTCCAATAAATCTGTTAGTCTATAAGGGTATGTCTACACTAGCCACCCTAGTTCGAACTAGGGTGGCTAATGTAGTCATTCAAACTTGCAATCATTTAAATCATTTATCATAATGTAGTCATTTAAATATCCCGGGCTTCATTTGCATGTTCCTGCGCGCCACCATTTTTAAATGCCCCATAGTTCAAACTACCTGCCTGCGGCTACACGTGGTAGTTCCTAACTCCTTTGGTAGTTCATATCCTAAGGTGCCACAGGACTTCTTGTTGTTCTTGCAGATTCAGACTAACACGGCTACCCCTCTGATATTTAGCAGTGTGGACGCTGTCTTCTGGAAAAGCTTCTTCCAAAAGAAGCCTGCAGTCTAGACATAGTCTTAGTGTGATTTGCTGTCCCATGTAGTGGCACTTAGACCGTTTACAGCAAGAGATAAGAACAAGGGAGCTCTACAGCCTAAGCTAAGAGACAGCTGGTTTTATAGCTTAAGCTGTAGAGGCTCCTACAATAAGCTCCACAGAGGCTTTAGGTTCAAATCTGCCCAGCGGCGATTACACATTTATTTGCTGGCTGTAGCTTTCCCAGCTGTCTTGGTGGAAGAATAATGATAGGATGGCATACAAGTAGGCTGCGTCTAGACTGGCAAATTTTTCCACAAAAGTGGCCAGTTTTGCAGAAAAACTTGCCAGCTGTCTACACTGGCCGCTTGAATTTGCGCAAGAACTCTGACGATCTAATGTAAGATTGTCAGTGTTCTTGCGCAAATACTATGCTGCTCCCATTCGGGAAAAAGCCCTCTTGCGCAAATGTATATGTGCAAGAGGGCCAATGTAGACAGCTAAAAACTGTTTTGCGCAAAAAAGCCCCGATGGCGAAAATGGTGATTGGGGCTTTCTTGCACAAAACCGTGTCTAGATTGGCATGGACGCTTTTCCGCAAAAAGTGCTTTTGCAGAAAAGCGTCTGTGCCAATCTAGATGCTCTTTTCCGCAAATGCTTTTAACGGAAAAACTTTTCCGTTAAAAGCATTTGCAGAAAATCATGCCAGTCTAGATGTAGCCATAGTGTATTGGCGTGTGGAGGATGGTGGGAAAGTGAAAAGGTTAGTGTTGGGGAGGACTTTAATGGTGTGTAGGAACTAAAACTAGGCAAATAACTGTGGGTTTGCTTGTTTGTTCCAGTTCAGTGGCAGTTCCACTACAATCTCCTTTTCCTCAGGTCATCCTGTGAATATCTAAAATAATTTGTGTCAAATTGGTAAGTAGTTTTTTTGTTGACAGAAACTACATTTTCTAACAATTGAACCCTTTGTCTCATAATTTCCACATATCCTTCTAACAGGGACAACAGGAGAGGGAGTTTGTCACTATTTGTGGGTATTCACTGAGTTGATCCTGAATTTGAATGGGATGAAAATGAGTGTGCTAAAACTTTTTCCACACTGGGACTCTGCCCTTCCTTTCCATACTGGCACTACTCCAGACTCTCTATCCCTTCTAGTTGAGCTCTAGCTGGGAATTCCATCCTATTTGGCAACATAGGAAGTCAAAGGTGCAATGTAGGTTCCCTAACTGAAGGGAAAAAGTAGGTCCCTCCAGCTCCTTTTGTCCTTGTTTTTATATATTTCATATCAAGCAGGAAGAAGATTATGTATCTTCTATTCTGCTTCCGCTTCTGTATTCCAGAAGCTACGGATATTAAGATTTTGCAGTCTTCTCAGTACATGACTACTATCAAGCTTCTTGGTAGGCAAACCCTCTAAAACAGAGCATTTTCTTGCACACTGCATGTTTTTCTTAGTTCACAGGCAAGGGAGGCTGCTTTAGAAAAAGAAGGCACGGTTCTGCAGCATGTCAGCATGTCTGAAGAAGACAGAGTATTTTTTGATTTGCGAAAGTGTTAGGCTATCAGCTCAAATTCAGGTGGCTTTAAGCAATTTTAATCAGATAAACTTACTTTATAAAATAACTCTAAAATCAAGCTGAAATTGTTAGGTCATACTCTGATCCTTTACCAAAGTAGTTCAATTGAATCCAATTTTGTAAAAAAAAAAAAATGCTTTTCCATTTTAACTGCAATGTCATCATGGAGTGTGAGAGTCTACAGGTCATATAAACGAAGAGGGTCAGAGGAGGGAATGTGGGGAAGAGTGTTCAGTACTTAAAAAAGATCGGAAAATGTGTGGCTTTGAGTAGGGTTTCATAATAGCAGTGCTTCAGCCAAAGTTCAGTTTGAAGGTAATGGAGGATAAAATAATCTCCCATTGAGGACTGCCCATGTGAAATGGCAACAAATGAAAGTAACAGTTTTTAAAACCACTGAAGCACAGACACCAAGTGCAATTTGAAGACTGGCCTCTCTGCAGATAGCTGGAGTATGATAGATGGAGAGAAGCAAGATTAGATTGATAGAAGTTGTAGAAGTGGCGTGAAGGGTGATAGATCATCACCCTGCTTGACATTGAAGTGAGAACAGTATATATTCATTTTTTTGGCTGCTGCTATCTGTTAATGTACTGGAGGGACAGAGAGAAAAAGCAGATCCCAGAAGAAGTCAAGTGGTAGTTGGCAACGCGTACTTGTGTTGATAGTGAGCTTTCATAATCTTTTTTCATGGCATGACTTTGCTGAGCTAAGACCTTCCTCTGTTCACAAAACTAAATTTAATTTGTACTTTATACTTTGGCACATAGTAACAGATTATCTCACATTCTAAGTATATCTTTCACCAGTCCAATCCCACAACTGGAATGAAAATTGATTTTAAAGTAAAGCTGCAAAGGTTTAGCATACATTCTAATCAAAAAGAGCTCTATTTCTGGTTAGCAGGGCAAATGCAATTTTTCCTCCCTGAAACACTTGTCGAGGCTAAACCAGGATCTCTGTTTTCCCAACCTTTCTGCTTTAGTTTTATGTTATTCTGCGCTCTCATCTAGTCACAAGGCCATCAATTCCTTACTCCATTTGTTATCATCCTACTTTTCTATTATGTACCTTGAGATAATGAGGATTCTTAATCACAGTAACATTGTTTTGCTAGCTTCTGAAAACAAAGTCCAAATGGCAGTGTGAGAAAAAATTGCTACATTGGATACTTTTCAAGTGCCTTTTCTTCCTTTGCCACTTTATAGTAATCATTTCACCAAAATAGTCCATATGGAATTGGTTTAATTGGGCCGCATTAGGTGCCAAGTAACCTTAAAGTTTGTCATTCAGAAGCTAGTTCTCTGGGTTTACCACCAAAAAAAGAAGAACCCCTACATTTAAGTCATTGCACAATTCATTTGCATGCAGTCGATACAGTGCCAAAGTGATGTGATGAATCCCGTTTTCTTTCATAAAATTTCCAAACTCCTGAGAGATGAACTATGAACCATTGTCACTCACAAGTTGTTCTGGCAGACCAAAACGACTAAAGATTCCACACAGTTTCTGGATAGTTCTCTCAGCAGTAGTGGACAACATTATAAAGATTTCTGGCCACCTGGAATAAGCATCTACCACAATCAAGAACGTGCTTCCTTCAAATGGGCTAGCAAAATCAATGTAAATATGTTGCCACCATTTTTCATACCAGTCCCATGGGTGTAGAGGTGCCAACTGAGGTGCATAACTCACCTTGATCATCCTGAATCTGCTTGATGATATGCAAGTTTTCCTTTTTGGTCCGCCAGTCCACAGACGTCTTTTTCTTTTGTTGCAGACACGCTCAATGTGTCCCTTTTCGCCACACTGTCGACACACTAGGTCCTTTCACAAGCATTCTGATGCATGGAGACTCAGCTTACTATAGTGGTATCATTCCTGGTTTCCTGCTGTTTTGTGGGTAGGTTCTTGGGATACTTTATGCACCCTAGGGGTCGCACTGAGGTACCACACCTCCCATGTGGCTACTTCCATGGAGACCACAATATCAACAGCTTCTGTAGAGTGACCTGGGCTTCTGTTAATAGCTGGTTCGGTGTAAGCTTCACTGTGCAGACCACACACTAACTTGTCATGTATAGCATCATTTAACATCTTCTTACATTCACAGTGTTCCGCAAGCCTTTTCAAAATTGCTACAAACTGTATAACTGTTTTATTTCTTTTTGGTCTCTTTTGTGGAACTTATACCTTTCTGCAATTACCAGTGCTTTTTGGAGCATGTAACTCCAGGATTTCCACAATGTCACTCTAAGATTTGGTTTCTGGCTTAACAGGGAGCAGCAAACTGCGTAGCAGAGAGTAGGTCTTAGCCCCTACAATACTTATGAATATTGGTACCTTCTTCTCTTCCTTAATGTCATTTGTAATAACGAAAAGTTCAAAAGACTTATTATATATGTGCCATTGCTCTATAGTCTCCTCAAAAGATCCCAGCAGCCCTATGAACATAGCCATGCTGCTGCACCTCCTTTCTTTTTTGTTTCCTCCCAGCCCCTGGGCTTCACTGATTTTAATTTCAGTTTGCACTGTCAGTGTAACAGTCAGTTCTCACCCTATCTTCCAAAACAGCAAAAAGGTTTGTTTTCTTACACTGACTTCTACTTCTTCTATTGCTGGAGGAAGCACAGGCATTCCATCCTCGTCCCCACTTTGTTATACTCTTTGGAGCTGCTGAGTTTAGAGAGAAATCACTTTAAACACTGTAGGCTACGTCTACATAGCTAATTTTTGTGGCAGAAAATATGCTAATGAGTGACTCATTAGCATAAGTTGAGCTCTCATTAGCATATTTTCTGATGTTTCTTTTTGGACAAGGGGTGTTTGTGCAAAAAGAAGCAGTATAGCTGCTTCCATTTTGTGCAAAAGCCCCATTTTGTGCAAGATCCTTATGCCTCTCTGGGTTTTTTTGTGCACGACGGAAGCAGCTACACTGCTTCTTTTTGTGCAAAACCCCTTGCGCAAAAAGAAACAGCAGAAAATATGCTACTGAGATCACGACTTATGCTAATGAGCATAAGCATATTAGCATATTTTCTGCTGCAAAAACTCGCAGTGTAGACATAGCCAGAGAGAGGAAGCAGTTGCAATCTTCCCCTTTATTGCATAACACAGAACTAACTAGAACCAGCCAGAACTGTCTGGGCTGACCCCTAATGACCTAACATAGTTACTATACCAACAAAAGATCTATATGTATGACAACCCAATATACAACAAGTATCACTGGATAATCCATGTCTGGGTTCCTCGCTTAACTTATGTCTCCACTGGTGGTACACTAACAGAAACAGGAAAGTCACTGCTTCTAGTTAAAAAGTTCACACTTTGTTTCTATTGACTCTCCTAGATTTCCCGAGCATCCTGCCAACTTGCTAGGACCAGCTGTCTTTGGTTTTAACACTTACAGGCAAGACAATTAAGGTTAGGTTTTAAGAGTTAAGAACTGTAAAAACATGTTAGTCAACTGAATGGCTAGAATATCCAGAAAAGGATATTGCCCACTCCATTCACCACAGATGTCAAAAGGAAAGTGTTAGTATCTGGTGTATTAGAGAATATTAAATTGAAAAGAGCAGTTTGGAGGGCGAGGACTCTTGGCACATGTCTACACTCGGAAATTATTTGGGAATAACTTATTTCCAAATAATAACTCTTAACATAATTATTTTGAAATTGCATGTCTACACTACAGGAAAGCCTCAAAATTAGTCCAAGGCAGGCTCCCGTCATGTGGATGCACTACCTCAACTTAGAGCCCCAGGAAGCACTGGGGAGTAATTACTTTGAATGACTTTGAGGAGTAGTTATTTCAAAATAGCAGGAGTGGGGCATCCACACTACTGCCATTTCAAAATAGCTATTTTGAAATAAGCATTATTCCCTGAGGAAAGCAGAAGTTATTATTTTGAAATAACCAGCCACTTATTTCAAAATAATGGGCTTGGTAGTCTGGACAGTCCATTTGTTATTTCAAAATAAGGGGAATTATATCTTAGTAACTCCCTAGTGTAGACTAGAGTGGACCCAGATAATGGGATTAATGTGAAGAAGAAGAAGAAGAAGAAGAAGAAGAAGAAGAAGAAGAAGAAGAAGAAGACATATAATGATTGCAGGAGGGAGGCATCTGGGATATACCACTTTAAGAAAGAGGGTGGGACAAGGTACAGAGGCGTGGACATTCCTGCAGATGCAAAGTGGGTCAGCTTGGCAACACTGACGCATCCCCCTGGAACCTGAAGAAAGGGATGAACAGGAGGGGTGTGTCTAGACTACAGGGTTTTGTCGACA